CGATATTGAAAGAACATGTTAACTTGAACATTGTTTTAATTTGTTGTCATTCGAATTTTTATCATATAATTTTTATGAATCAAAATATTATATTTCAATTTAAATTTGCAGCTTTTTACTTTTAGTGCCCTTAATCCATAACAAATATTTTAAACTATTTTTGAAGTACTAATTATCTTAAATAGCTTGTTATATTTAGTTTTTGGTTATTTGAAGTATATCACATAAATATTTCACAATTATATTTTAATACAAAGTATTTAAACTAATTTTTTTGGTTCAATAGAAACATATTTTCAAAATAGATGTGAATTTACTTTCTGATTTTTTCAAATTTGAACTTCATGGATAATATTTATATTTATACATAACTTTATGCATATATATATATATATATATATATATATATATATATCATTCCAACTTTTACTGAATCCTCTAGTAATTTTTCGTTTGATTAATTCATGTCTTTTTCCATCTAACATTGATGTAAGCATATTGCAGACGTTAATTGAAATTTTATTTCCATTGTCTAAATCCATTGACAAATACATATTTTTATTAATGTTTGTTGTATATCTCACGTCTGTTTTCTTGTATTTTTTTATTCAAATTTATTTTAATATATTGATATTTTTTAATTAATAAAAATATATCATCATATTTCTTTATATTTTCGACTTGATTTTGTGACAATTGCAAGCAAAATTTTGTACCTTGGTTTCAATTGCTGTAGTTTTTCAACGTTGCTCTAATTTTGTCTTGTTATATTAAACTTGAAATTTTTAAGAGAATTTTATGGGAATAAAAGATATCAAAAAATCCATCCAAACAATATAATCGTGCATCCTACTTTTAAGTGAGGATTTATCAATGAAAATATATATTAATGAATATATATATATATATATATATATATAATCTTTTCGTGAAATATATATATCAATGCTGATATTAATTTACAGTTTTGAAAATAGATCGGGTAAAATTCTGAAAATCATGTTCACAATATAATATTACTAAGAATATATAAAATAATGGAACGGTACGTTTTCTATAATGAAATTTTTATATGCTAAAAGTGTATTTATTTTTTATATTTTTTATAGATCTTGTGTCGTTAGTAAAATAAAAATAACTGATCAAACAGATTTGTTCGAAGTTATACACTTCTGGCTTATCTAATAGCATGTTATTTTAAAGTAAATGTTGAACTATAAAATAAATTTTTGACTAGAAACTAACGATTTTGCTAAAATATTGATAGTTTTCTTTGACTCCACAAAAAACTCTTTATGTAAATAATATTGCAAAAAACTAACTGATAAAACAACACACTTGCATATAAACTAAAATTATTTCAAAATTACTATTTTCAAATTCAATTTTTTTACAATTACATTCGTCTTATAGTATACTTTACGTTAGATTTTACATACTTTCTTATTGAGATAGCTGATGAACCTTTGCAGATATTTATTAATAATTGTCAGAAGTACTTCCATCAAAAAATTATTGATTGATTTTAGGAAATTTGGAAATTTCACATATGTTTAATTGCGTAGCATTACTAAATTAAATATTATATATGCACATATATTTATAATGAATTTTTATTTAGCAATGAATTCTTACAATAAAATGAATATACGTTGCTACATTATATATATATATATATATATATATATATATATAAATTTGACGTTTCGGAACTAAGTACATTCCATCCTCAAAAGATCTCTCAAGAAAATGTTCTGAGTTAAAAAATAAAAAAAACACTTATTATATAAAATATGAATTATAACAAAATATCAAATAAAAAAAAACTTTCTAAAATATGAATATATTATATCAAAATATCAAATAAAAAAAACTATATCTCACCTGCATCATTAGTATGAAAAAACCACTCACAATACAACTTTTTTTTAACATTCAATTATTTTAACTGGATATTACTAGAATAATGTTTGCTTAATTTATAAATTAGTCATGTTATTCTAGTTACCAGTTTTTTTAAACTGGCTATATATTGGTTTATTATGAATATATGAATCAAAAATATGAAACAGAAATAACAAAATAACGACCAATGGATGTAAAAATCGACAAATTGATAAATTTAAAGATATTTCAACCAAATAAAACACAATGATTTTGAATCATGTAAACTAAATCATGATAAAAGAAGTTAAATTAGCGTTAATAGAGAAGTTGATCTTTTTCATTTATATAAATGAAATTATATAATGGTTTCAAATTCCAGATAGTTGCAGAATATATTATAGCACCTAAAATTTAGTAGCAATGATATTGAATCAAACAATTTTTTATGTCATTTTATGTTATGCAACTTGCCAAGAATTTTTTAAACATTACAATAAAATATTTTGGAAATCAGGACCTCGAACAATTGAAATCAATCAGGGTTTATTTGTAATTATCCATTCGAAGAGTTTGTTTACCTGTTGATGTAGAATATTTAGCACTCGTTAACATTTATTAAGTCTAAATATTTTGAAAATATATCTGTTCTTGGATTTTTTTATTTTTTAAATTTTTATTTTTTTCTATATTTTTCAAATTATTATATTTTATGCTATAACTTAACTTTTATGCTATAACTTAAGTTATATGCTTTAAAATTGGTAAATATGGAGTGAAGTGCTTTATATATATTTTTCTTTCTCAGCTTTTTCTAAATAATTTATTAAACTATATGCTAAAGCGTAAAATTGAATAGACTAAATATAGTATAATTTAATTTATATAATGTATAAAATCATAAGATTGTGTACGTTTATTTATTGTGTATTAGTCAATTATTTGACCAAGTTTGTCAATTTTGTTAGCATACTTAAAAGGTGTGTATACTCATAAATACTAATAATAATCTGCATGTTTTCTCTTTTTAGAATTTTAAATTATTTTTAGTATTAAACTCAGATTTTAGAAAGATATCCAGTTTTTCATTAGCTCCAGTTTTTAAAAATGTTCCATAATTTCATTTTTTAATAATTCAATATTTTCATTTATACAATCATTTGTAGTTAATATGTCATATGATTAATATTGTTTTAACATTTTATAATCTATATGATTATTAATCCAAGAATATTTTTTATAAGAATATTTGTTAGCTTAAATATGTAATATATATGATTTTTATAGTGGTCTAAATAATATTGCAATTCTTTTAATTTTAGGATTTATTCAATTTTCTTAAGTAGAATTTTATTTATTTCATGCACTTTTTTAAAATCATGATGTTCCCTTTTCTGTTTTTAATTAAATACAATACAATACGACTAAATAATATAACATCTAGTAACACAAGTGAATAAATATAAATAAAATAGACCATAAAATAAAGGTTAATATTTCTTGTTTTGTTTAAGTATTTTATAAAAATTTTAATTTTCATATATTAGAATGTTTATTACTACACATCAATCTTAGTTATATGTGGGGGGTCGCTTATTTAACTTATAAACTATGATTTATAAAACTGAAATTCCACTTGTTTGAACTGTACAGTTATAATATCGGTCTACTTTATAATTCTAATTTTGATATTAATTTATTTTAATTTACTTGAAAATTTGGTTAAATAGCGTTTTCTCTAAAAATGGACACTTAAATAATAGAAATCTTGAACTATATAGATCTAGATAATTATGTTTACGATTTTGACAAATTAGTACAGGAAATTATTATATTAGATCAGAGAAATAATTTATATAAATATTTAAATATTTCAATTATATGAAATAAGTTACTAATTTTAATATTTTCAAATGTTATTGTAAACTATTACAAATAACTCATTATCTAAGTGGGTCAAGTGGCATTTATATTTATACCTTGATCATTATAATTTAAAACAGAGGCTATTGCAGATTATTCAATTTAGTACACATTTTTCAAATAAATCATGAAGTGACCCAATCGATTTTTTGCAAAAACTAATATCAGCACTAAATCACAATTGTTAAATCTGTATTAATTATATTTATCGATGTTATCTGTATCAACGGTAAGAATTTGTGAAATATAAAGTACCTTCTTAAAAAAATAATGAGGCCCATTCTTCTGTAAAATAGACATACAAAATCGTTCTAAATACTGTCAAAAGCCATGTTTACATAGAAAATCTAACCTAGAAAACGCACAAATAGTAAAAAACGGTGTTATGATGACTGGATTTTTGTGATATACTTCGACATGTGAGTTAACTTTCATTTTATGTGTAAAACGCCTGATCGTACACCAAATACATGGCTTTTGATAGTATTAAGTACGATTTTATATGAAAACTGAAACGTAACATAGCCTTGCTAAAATAGTGGTCCATATTACGGCAGAATCGGCCCATAAATTTGGATGGGCTTATAACGGAAGATGAGTTGCATTTTGCAATTTAAAAGTTAACGTAATAAATAATCTATGCGAGTTACTAATATCTTGCTAAAATTTTCAAATTATCAACAAAACCCGAATACGATGCCAGCTTAATGCAGCCTGATGTCAAGCAGTAGTGTGACATTGGTTTTCACGTGGAGATATGAGTATCAATATGTTTCCAAGTGAAAATGGTACTTACCGGCATTGCTGAATCAAAAATAAGTTGTAACAATAAAAATTATCTCAATATAGGAATACTGTTTGGGTTGACGTCTGTGAAAAACAAATGTAGTTGAATTAATTCCTCGCGGCAGTATATAAGACCATTACGTTCTCTGATTCAAATAAAATTAAAAAGGCCAGCGTAAAAAGCAATATATTTGGTGATCAAGTCAAAAAAACTATTGTAAAAAATCATAAAAATAAGGAATAGTTATGAAAATATTCAGACAAAATAGTGATGAAATAGAGATAAAATTAATTAATAACATTCAGTTTAGAGACAATAGTGATACGTGATCAATACTTGGGCAACTGACATTTAAGGAGGATAGGGTTTGGTGAACAGTGTTACAAAATAAAAAATTATGAGTTCCTTATGAGACGGAATCATTATGAAGTAAAGCATTGAGATCGTTCCAGAATCTCAAACGGTCCGGATTCGGGTTCTGGCGCATTCGCATTTCGGATGTGATCTCCATGTAATTCAAAGTGGTTCCTTTAACTGGGCGCCACTTCTCTGTCACTATTACGCCGTCCTTGCTGGGTGTGGGATTTCTGGAAAAAATGACAAGGTTTAGGATCAATTCAAACAAATTCAAAAAGTTGATTAACATTCAAATAAACTGGTAGCCAATCTTAACAAATCATCATTATGACGGAGCTATAGATTATCTCTTGAAAAGGAATGCGGTCTGCAGATTATGTTAATGTAAGGCACTGACTAAAAGCAATAATGGAAACTTATTCGAACAATAACACTTTATCTTTCTTCCTTTGGACTCGAAATGAAATATAGTATAGTTATGACGACTGTCATTACCGTATCTTGGCACAACCGTACCCAGTCTCCCCTACATGTTTTTATAATTATATGTGCATATTCTAGATTTTAATGAAACAAAAACTAAATATATAGAATATAAATAAAAAGTAAACTGCTGTATTTTCCTCTTAAAAACATTACAAAACAACAAATAAAGTAATCAATGTCTTTCTTAGACAGAATATAATTTATATGGAAATCATAAATTCATGCGTTTATATTTGAAACATTCAGTCACATTACAGTTTTGGATCAAATAGCTATAAAATTACTGGTTATACTCATATATGATCAGTTTTTAAACTTTTAAATAATTTTATTACTAAGGTTCATTATCTAACATAGCGTTGAAATTATTCATTTCAACAATTTTATCTAACGTTCATTCTCTAACGTAGCGTTGAACATAATCATTTCAACAGTTTTATTATATATTTGGAACTGCATAATTTATTTATTTATTAAATTTATGTTTTCATGATATACATGTTTATTAATGTTGGTTATGTACGGTTTGCCTTTATAATTAAGAATTATAAATAATTATGATATAAAATATTATTATAATAATACATATTATCATAATTTAAAGTTATGTATTATTTTGATTTGAATGCATTATTCCGATTTGACAAAAGCCAGTCAATAGTAATAAAATTATAGTTGTTTGCAACAAGAAAATAGTTTTGAGTGTGTATAATATATTTTGGATGAATATATAAATCTGGTTTATAATGCAATATAACTAATTTATATCTAAAATATGTTCATAAAAATTTGCAAACCTAATTAACTACTTGGCAAAGATCATTTAACAACACGATTTTATAAATTAAATACACGAAATTTATGATAAATTATAAACAAACTCATAAAGCATTTATCTATAATATTTTATTGTTTTTTAATATTACACGATTTTTTAAGAAATAAATAATTTAATGTTTTGTTTACATTTTTTTCTTTCTTCCAATGTAATTTTATGCTATTTATTTATTACAATATATATCCAAGAAGTATGAAAAAAACTACAAACTTAAATTTTCAATAATAAAATTTTATCTATATTTAAGTAATTTAATTATTTGCTGTTTTATACTTCCTTTGCAAACGCTATTAGATATGAGTACAACATGTGCTTTCAAGATAATTCAACATATTTTAAACTAATTTTTATAATTATTAAACCATAAACTAATATGCAAAAAAAAAAAATAGCTAGTGTATTATTGCGTTTTATTTGCCTTTACTGAAATCTCTAGAAATTTCTAAAAATATAAAGTATTAAAAAATAAATACTTATTGAATGTAAATATACAATTCAGGTGCTGTTAATGTTAATTAATATTATCAATTAAATATTCAATTACAATTAAGTCACGATGTAACTTCTTTATGATCGTGCTCCATTTTTTTTAATATAGAGGTTGTATCATTGTTTCCGCTTGTAATTTTAAATATTTTATGTAAAATGAAAGTTCTTTTTTGTTATATAGTGGCAAAAATTGTAAAAATTACTGACAAAAAATGCAAGCGCTCTCATAAGTACCCAATTAATTGGCTGTTAAACCAAGATCTGCTAGTATCCACAAATAAATGAAATATCTGTTTATTCATATCGTTTTTTATTTAATTATAACTTTGCCAGCTTTTTGTAATGTTTTCTAATAATATTTTATAATATCTTTTTTTGCAGAATCTTACGATACTTTTATATTATTTTGTTGTCAACGTTCGGATGATTTTATTTTCATTTTATAATGAATTAATGTAAATAATGTTGTGAAACTTTTAAGTATAATAAACATATTTTTTTGAAGTGTGTAGTTTTGAACGTTTTGGCTAGCTGTTTTTTATTCTTAAAATATACAGTTCTATAATTAAATATGTAGAATCTCATTTTCTTACGTTTTGTTTTTGAAACTTATTCAATAAATTAATATTTATATATATATATATATATATATATATATATATATTATATTCAATACTTCCAACATATCTTCAAACTATTTATTCAAGGATTATTTACTGTGTATTTGTTTCTTATACTTATTAAATATTCCATTTTATTCTCCAAGCAGTTCTATTTGTTTTGAAATTGTTTTTTTCTATATTTTTTTGCATACATAAACTATCTTACTTACAAAGGTATAAAATATTCTATTTAATTTCGTGTTCTTGCATCAATGAAAATGATATGAAACTTTGAATTATACTGTATTCAATAATATCAGTTATGCATTATTATATTATAATAAAGCTTTTTATAAACGTGCTTTATTCTCTTTTGTATGTTTCTAAATACTTATTATGTAAATTGTTTTTTCATGTCAAAACATTAAAATTTAAAATTTACGAATTAGGCAGACTTCTGTTACAAAGAAAGAATTTTTTGGATCAGCTGTTACATAAAAAGATTGTTCTTTTTTGTAGTTTTTTTATAGCTGCTTTATTTTTAACTAATGAATAATTTTAATTATGCAATTTCAAATATCTTACAATGCTCGAAATATGAAACATTGATAATCGAAGAAAACTCATATTATTGCAGTGCTTTCTTTCATAAATCGTATAATTTTTCATAAAACCAAACAATTTTTCTTTAATAAATTATATGTTCATCTATAAATTTTAATATTTATCTACATATCTTACATTTTTATTATATTTTTATATTTATTTTTGCTTTGATTTTTTGACTAAAACAAAATGTGTATTTTTAAGGCTGCTTTTCAATGATTATCAATATCGAACATTTAGCGACAATTGAACACAAATTTAGAATCTTTAATTTTCGCTAAATGTTAGATGTGTGAAAAATTTTAATATTTTGGAAATATTTTTAAACATAACGCAATTTTTAACTCAAAGAAATTGCTTATATACAAATGAATACTAAGAATCAGTAATTCTGCAATTTCATATGATGCCAATTAAATATTGAAATGCATTTGGGAATACATAAATCTTAAGTATGTGTTTTTTATCAAAAATTCATTTGTTTTACAATATAACGAATTAATTTACAATATGTTAAAATTATCTTGATCAATTCAGAACATTTAAATAACATTTAATATATTACATATATATAGAAATATATATACATAATAAATTTTCAATTATCTGCTAAAAATTCAAATGATTTTTTTTTTGAAATTATAATTAGTAACAAACCTACAAATCAAAGAATTATTGTTTGTAAACGACGTCGTATTTTAATAAAATCAGTTGCATTTTTTATTATTAATAAAAAAAAATTTGCTACAAGCCTCTTTACTATATAATATAAATGTGTCGTAAAAACCGCTCTTGAAATTTAGAACTATTCCCTATCCTTGAATATAGTGTGTGAGCACTGAAAATCTACTAGGTATTTTTTTATTCTTTATTCTTATTGTATATTTTAAATAATAGCTTTCGTATTTATTATAATTTCACATAGGTAGGGAGCAAAATTATCTCTCCACAAATTTTACTTATATTTTCCTCATCTAAATTCACAATTATAGCCTCATCATGGTTGTAGTATACATATTGACGAGACTTTTTGTATGTGAACAAATCCAGTTACATTTACATTATCGTTATAAATGTAATAATATTAGCGTATGTCAATTTTTATTACAGAAAATGTAAAAATTGATATAAACGCTAGAAATAACATTGTATGTAGAGTATAGGTCGACTACACTTTATAAATTATTTTATAATTGCACTTTTTTTTGCAATAGACACAACTTGGGCAAAAATCAGCAATCAGCGTCCTAAGAGCTGTTGACTTCTTAATGACATGATTCAATAGGTTCTGAAAATTCTGATGTTGCTTTATACAATGCCCGAATTAAGGTGATTTTTACTTGGAAGCATATTGCTATCTATATTTCTAAAAAATCCCGAAGCCCGAGACAGGTATCGAACCTGTCTCCTCTGAATGGAAGTTATAATGGATAGCTCTAATTACCAGATCAAGTACCCAATAGGTATGATATTGTGATACAAATAAACAAATTTTACGTTTGCATTTAACGCATAATTGCTTCATAAATGAATTGAGCAGTTTGACCAAGAATAGTGAATTTTTAACTATAATTTCCACTTACCCATATTTGGCAAAGTTGGTCCAGAGTGTCACCATCCTCTCTCGGGTTCTGTACTCGTGGGAATCGTGGTCCACGGTGACATCGAAGGATCCAGGTTTGAAAAGATAGAACATTTCGTCGCCATGAGAACAACCTCGACGATTTATTCGCAAAATGTTCTTGTAATAATTGATCTTTCCGACAAAATTAAATTTGTAGAAGAACAGGGACTGGATCAATGGTGCGTGGGCTCGTAGAGTATCGTGCATGCCTCGGACCTGGAGGAAATTAGTTTATGCAAATAATTCATATTTAAATTCATTTATTTAAATTTATGAAACAAATTCAATGAAAGACCTTCTCAAAAGGACAAAAATTGATCAATTATCGAATTTCTTTAACTATTATAAAAAGGGATTTGTGGTTTAATATCGTATTTTTAATTCTGCTTTAAAAAAATAAAATGGAGAAAATTGATACTAAAATTTTAAAAAAGTGTTAGGTAGGGTTACTAAAAGTTTAAGCTTATCAATAATCAGGAAAATCTAAATTAAAGCGCAATACATTCACTGAATAAAAGCGTGTTACAAAATTATTCAATTACCAAAATGAATATTACGAGACAGAGTTTGAGCTGGGAGAGTAAAAATTTAGAATCCTTATGTATTTACATTATAAATAAATAAAACACATATCATTGGTCCCACAACTAAAAGAAGTTGGAAATGGAGAAACCCCCCCCCCCCCCCCCCCAAGTAACATTAGTTTTTTTTTAAATCGAAATTAAGCTTTTCCATCAATTTAAGAAAATCTTAATCATAATTCAGTGCAAAATTAGTTTAGTTAGTTTTGAAATTTAGTTTATTGTAAATATAATTATGTATATGTTTTTCTACCCCATGGGTATTTTACATTTGTAAATGTTTCTAATTTCATTGAGTTAATCGTGGTAAACAAAGTGATATTATTATTTTTAATTATATTCACTCACTGTAATTAAAAACGTTTAGAATATGAAATTGCATTCAAAAACATAAATTAATATTTAAAAATAAAAAAACAATAATATAATAGGCAAACAGTAATGTTTCTCAAATGTGATACAGATGTTTGCACTAAATTATTTAAATTTTTTAAGAAATATGAAAATTTTGTCAGTGGTTTTGCTCATCCTTAATTATTTTAATAGATCCATAATTTAATTTTTTTAAATAGAAAAACAATAATATAATAGACAGACAATATCATGTTTATGTGAATGTGTTACAGATATTTTTGCCACTAAATTAATCAAAATTTTTACGATATAAAAATTTTTGTGAGTGGTTATGCTCACTTTCGTTCACCAATTTTAATAGATTTATAATTTAACAAATTTTAAAAACTTCATAATTAGCATTGCCTTCAGTAGTTCGAATTATTCAAAATACCTTTAAAATTATAATAAATGTAAAGCAGTTCTAAATTCACTTTATCACAATCGATATATTATGATTCTGGAAATTATTATTTTTATAGTTTATTGTTTCAGCTTTAAATAAACTTTTAAAAAAATATAGTGAAATTTTTGTAATTTGTTTCTGATTTAGCTAATATTTGAAAACAAACGTTGTTTTAAATTCAAAACTCTAATTTTACAATGAATGATTCAATTACAGGTATACTAAAAATGAGCTTTGTTATGTTGAATTTGTAGTTTGAAAACAATTGTACAATTAATAAAGCATAGTTTTATTTAAATTTTGATGAAATATTTCAGATTTTTTATATAATATTTGACTTTATTTTACATCTAACACCTCGATAACGGTTATACATAATTGAAATCGTTTTAATAATTTTTTCTTTAAAATTTTCTGCCAAAAATGTTATTTAATTTTTTTTTTATTTATTTACATATTATTTTTATATCTCAGTCAGACATTGGTATCTGGTATGAGAGATTATGAAACAATTTTCTTATTTTATATATACATATCATTTGTCTATTTCATTATACTGCAATATAATATTTATTATAATTAAAATATCTATTCAATCTTCAATTTCCTTATAATATTTCTTTATTTTTCTTTTAAATTTGTCGTCATCATTGGTCATCTTAATATCGTTTGGCAATTTATTATATATTTATATAATTATATTTTTATCCTAAATAAAATATTTTGAGTAAGTGATTTTTTCATCCTTCTTATTTCATGACTATTGTGTAGTTATTTTTAACTCATTTTATAAAGAACTATCATATATATATATATATATATATATATATATATATATATATATATTTTAAATAATCTGACTTGGTTAGCAAAATATATTAGATATTTTATGCTATAGTTGATAAAACTGTACATGTAGTCATTGAATACAATTTTTATATTCTTTTATTTATAATGTAGGTCGTTACATTTCAGAGTTATAAAAAAAGTTTTGATTTATGTTTCGGCACCTAAATTTTAGATTTCATATGTAAAATGAATGGGGTAACATTTAAGAACGTAATATTTACAATTTTCAATGTTAAAATAAGATTACTAAAAATTGAAGATATTTTAAAAATCTTTACTTTATTTATTTTTTACTTGATACGCCTTTCAAGAAATTAATCATAAATTTCAACATCAAATTTAAACACTTTCAACATATAAATATATGTATGTATATCTGTTGTTAATACATTCAAAGACTATGCATCAGATTACCGTGAAATTTTTGAAAATTGTTAAGTATATTCCCGAACAAGTTTTCGCATGCTTTTTATTGAACATAAGTATTAAGCTACTAGGCCACCATTTTTTTTCGTTCCTTTTTTAAAATGTGCAATTAAAAATATATAGTCCCTGCATTTTCATCTTTTTATTACAAATCCATTGTAATATTTGGACATCACAAAATATTTATAATATTTTTATCTTTAATATATTTTTAAATTAATTTTTATGCTCAATTTCTTAATACTTTTTATAATAACTTATTTTGTACACATATTTTGTTTACAACAATGTTTGCCACTAAAGTGTATGTATTAAATTGAGTAAAATAGTATTGTTAGGTTTTCATAAGCCTCTAATAGTTTTAACTGTAATATATATAAGCATGCATCTTTTTCTACCGATGACTTCGAATTCCCGTAGATTTTTTAATTGAATCAGTTTTTAAAAGACTAATTTTAGTAAGTATATAATATTGATACATGCTGTGATCTTTAGTTAAAATTGATTTTTAATGTCTTGCAGAATATAACTTTTTTATCAGGAGAATCTCATAGGAAAATTAATTTAAATTTATTAAGTGTCATTTTTTAGCATTCCATATGCAATGTTTGTTTAATTGTATATTGCATTTTCTTGGTCAATTCGATTTATAACAAAGATGATAAGTCTTAAATAAGTATTTTACCATATTGTATTCTGAAATAAATTTTCTATATTTTTTATTATGACGTGACAGAAATTTTACCTTAGCATAACTTTGCCGAATAATTTTAATTTTTATATTAATATTTTCTCAATATTTTGTTTCACTGAACATATTTTGTTGTCAACAGATTCGTTCGTGTGTTCTTAATTCTATTGTAAAATATTGAAAAGAATATTGTACAATTATAAAAAGTTATGATATAATTGCTATTAATTTGAACATTGTTTTTAATAAATATTTATTTAGATAATAATTTAATTTAGCAATTATTTTCTGAATTGAAATAAATCTTTGTATGCAAACTTTGATTTTTTCTATTTCTTTTAATTTTATATTTACAATACTGTGAAATACTATATTTTTTAATTACATATTTTTTGAAGATACTCTTTAAAATATGCAATTCTGTAATTAATTTTTTTTTTATTTTGTTTGTATTTGTCGAACTATTTTGGGAGCTTATGTCAATAAATAAATTTTAATTTATGCTACAAAATATGCTACAAAATATTCTAAAAATGTCATAAAAGTCTTTATTTATTTACAGATAATCGACTCTACGCTTGTTTTCGTGTTTCATATATTTTATTATATTCATCTGGCAAGTTAATTTGTTTTGAAATTGTTCGTTTCTATGAAAAATATGTGCATTTTTTATTATTCTGCCAAATTCTTTTGTGAAAATGTTCAAGTAAAGTCAAGTAAAAAGCGAGGAGAAATGCAGTAAGCTTTTCCTTGTCAAAAGATTTTTCTTTCCGCATATTTTCTACAGTTCAAACTGCTTTCTTTAATTTTTAAGAATTGATTTTGCAATTTATATAATTCAAGTTTATATTTTTTTTTATTAAATTAGAACTGATAATAGTAACCACATTTTCACTTGCATATTTGAGTTAGAAAAATAGTTCGATATTTTTACTGACATTTGCATTATGACATATTCCCATTTTGTTACTAATATTGAAGTTTTTTTTTAATTTCAATATCTGTACCAACTGTATAAATTACTAATCTTGAAGTGTTTTTTTTTTAATTTCAATATCTGTACAATTATGAATTGAAAATTAAATTGAATTCGACTATTTTTGATAATTGCTAAATAATATTTCAAAATTATTTTGCGACTAGATAGACAATGTTGTAAAATATTTAAATTAATTATTGATATATATTATAAAATAAGATTACTTCTTATATATATATATATATATATATATATATATATATATGTATATATGTATATATAACTCATATATTTATAAATAATTATCTTCTGACCTTAAGATAAATTTTATAATTGTATTAAGATATCAGATATCTTAATAAAAATAATTTGGTCTTTTGTATGTACTTTTTCAGTTGATGTGGTAATAAAAGGGCACTATAAATATTTTGCTTCAAAGGTTAAAATTAATTAAATTAAAAATTAAAATTGATTTAATTAACAATGTTCAATTTTCCTCAATTATTAAAGTGCCCACAAGTTTGGGACAAACCTGAATTACAAAGAAATTTATAGGTTATTCAATTTATTTAATTTTCTGCATTCTATTTAAAAATACTTAATGTGTAACTCTTTTGAACATTTAAGTTTAATATTTTTTGTATAGTTATTTATAGATATCTACTTATATAATCGTAATTGTGAAAAAATATATCTCAATATATATTCTATTATATTATAAATTAAAATCAATTATTTCTTTGTAGGTATTACAAAACTCAAAAATTTTCTCCATCAAATACAAAAGTTCCTGATATGCGTTTGCTTTGATTTTTTCGGCAATTTCATAATCTTCCAATAATATCGCTCATTAGAACTATAAAACTTGCAAGTCAAAAATTAGTTTAAAATTCTGAAATACTTCAATTATGAACCTATTGCAAATGAAATATTTTCATGTATTTGTTGAGAATAGTTAATATTTAATTTGCATGGTATAAGCTATGTTATAATTTAATTTTTATGTTAAAATCGGCTTCTAATTAGTGCTCTATTATTTACATTTATTCATAAGTAATTACTGAATTTTGTTTTATCAGTATTCAATATTGAGTTCATTTTCAATCTTTTTACTATTCACACATATTTGTTAATATGAACATTAACTTAATTTTGCTTTATGATGCTGTGGAACTAAAGTATTTTTCAAAAGTAAATAATGTTTGGTCAGTAATTAATTTCATATTCTTCGGTTTTCATAAGCCTCTAATATATTTCACTTCAACATAGATGCAAGTAAATTTTTCTTCAATTATTTGATCAATGTTCAATTGAGATTTAGTCAATAAGAATTTTAGACTATAAATGCAAAATTGTTTTATGATTTTCTAATTAAAACGGTTTCTTGTGGTCTCTGTTTTTTTAATGAATTTACAGTATGAAAAATTGTTTTCTGATTTTTTGATATTATAGATTTTTGGTGTCCTTTAATGATAGTATAAGATTTTTGCGAAGGATTTCATAAAAAAATAGATTTATACCTATCTAATCGTCATTTTTTAGTATTATATTGACCTATCTACGAATTGCCATAATGTTTTTTTAACTAATCAAAAAGTAATTAAAATTTATGAAATAATCATCTACACCTTCATCATATTATCTATTTTCGAAAATTGAGAATTTTCTAGAGATATATTTTATATGATCTTTATAATTTGCAAACTATATTTTGTTAAATTTAGTATTAGAAAGATGGTTGAAATCGTACAGTTTCAAAATATGGAGGTTGAGCAGGAGATTACTGTACTAGGATGATATTTCCCAATAATAATTTAGAAGTTTTTCTGTGTCAAGTATGTATATTTTTAACTAAGTTTATGAAATCTGTGTAAACACTATAAATGCTTCAGTGTGTTTGAGTTCGATATGGAATGCACTTTAAAGTTTTTTATTATATTATCTCTTTAGTATATTTTACATTTTCAGTAAGGGCTGTATTTTTTAATATAGGTTAAAAATTTTGAATGAATAAAGTAATTACCTAAGTATGCATTAAATTCATAATAACAGTATCATTTTTGAACACAGTCGTATTTCTTTAGATCTAAAAGAAGAATCGGTCAGATTTATAAGAAGCATTCTCATTTGATGAAGAGATGAGGGAAACTCGGTAATGTTTTGAAACATTGTTAACTTTTTTAGGTATTATTGTAAGAAATTACCTTATGAAAACTATGTTATATTAGTGGTTTTTTAGGATTTGGCAGTTACCTGCCATTCAGACTACAAATATTACGAAAATGTAGTAATTAATCAATACTATTTTAATTTGAATGGAAATGCACTAATATGTATACTCTCTTTTTCAGTACAATTTAATATAAAAACACTCAATATTAATTGTTTTTTTAACTTATTACCAACAATTATTGGTAATTTAATATTGATCTTATAAATATCATAGTTTTCTATTATTAGCAGTGACGTTTTTCTAGTATAAAAATAACACTTTTTCAACAAAAAATTATTTTCATTCAATCATATAGTTTCCAGTTTTTCTCAGCTGTATTCGGGTTACACAATTTTCTATATAAATATCTGATATTTAACAGCAAAAAAATAATAAGGAGCGCGAGTGAAGGTGACCGTCATTTATAACAGTTTTGCTATTCAAAAAATTTTATAAATTTTGAAATAATTATTAATCAAATGGTGCCCGATCAGGGAGATAAGGCGCCATCGAAAAAATTTGCAAAGCCCTATGGTCATGCAGTATTTTCGATTTACTTCATAACATTTATAGCAACTTTTTTCTCGTTATTCTTTGCTGGATGGCATTTTAACCACTTTTGGTTTGAAGCTTCTACATGAAAGGAAAGAGAAGCCGCGAAATTAAGAAAAAGGGCGGTAATTCAATTCAGTATGGTTATGATTGTTCTTCCACCGTTTGATGTATCATCCATCAAGTCAGTCAAGACGTGAAAAACAATCACCATTATAAAGTGCCCAGATAATCTCATGGTGACATCAATAACAGAAACCAAAAAAATACAAAATATGATTAGTAGAATCTCCAAAGTGAGTAGACGATACGAAATGAAGATCAACAACGAGGCCCTGAGAGATGACGGTAGAAAATCGAAACTTATAAGATGTTGAATCATTTCAAGTACTTATCAAAGATGAATACTGCACGAGAAGATCAGGTCAAGAATCTTATGCCCCAAACTGAGTCACTGAAGAGGCTTATGAAGTTATCTCTGGAGCATAGCTCTGTATGAATGAGAGACATGGATTCTAAGAAAGGCCGATAGAAACTATCTGGTGAGTTTTGAAATGTGGTCCCAGAGGTCATAAACAAAGAAGTGTTGAGAAGAGAGGGCGAAGAAAGTAATCTACTAAGCAGGATCATGAAAAGTAGAAGAAACTGCATCAGGTTTATATTCCAAAAACTGTTCTTGCTGCACAACCTTGTAGAAGGTGAGAAAAAGGGACTAACTAGAAAGATTGGGAAAAAGAATGCAGATTATTGGTGACTTACGTGGGAAGCTCAAAGCCAAAGCACAGGACTAGAAAGTATAAAACCAGAAGTATAAAAAGAAAAATACATAGGTGTATTGAAATGTGAAGAATAGTAATAAAATAGTGATGGTAATAATAAATGAGCCAGGGAATGGGAATCATTGTTTGTGGTGCTCTCACATCATGGACCTGCATTCGGGCCCACTATCGTTTAAAGTATATGTAATGATTAGTTGATATCAAGTGAACAGTCATAAATTCACAAACCAAAATAAGATTTTATTAGAAACTCACCACATGTACGTCGCTCAGGAGGTCAATCAGCTGCGGTAAGGAGTCCTTGTCGACCCGCATGTCGCCGAAGTAAAATTCGCGCATTTTTCGCGCAACCGCAACTGACCTCGGAGACTTCTCGTGCAGACGAAGACCCACGGGCACAAGTTTCTCGAAATCACGATCGACGTCCTATAATATAAAAATTATTTTATATTTCGTTTTGGTTTTTGAAAGTAATACTACATTATGTTGTATACTATTTCCTTCCTACGTTTAATTTATAATTAATGATGTTAAGTAGAAGCATTTATTGCGTGCAAGATAAATTTTTGCTTAATTTTTTCTTATACCTATTTATATTACGAAATGTACGTTTAATAGCAAAACTATGGAATAACCAATACATTTATATCAAATAATAAAATATTTTAAAATGAATAGTTCTTTTACATCAAAACCCTTTCGAATGATCATTAAAGTTATTCATGATTTAATTTTTAACATCAAAGATATATAATATGGAGTCACATGTATACCATACTTATCACATAAAGAAACTAGAAGATAAAGAAATAATTTAATCTTTATATTCTAAAATTTGAAACTATTTAGCCTATTTATATAATAGGTGTATGATAACTTTTATAAAATCAAAAACTTTGTATGTTCAATGGATTTGAAACATTCGAAATGAAAAAACAAATTAAATCAAATTAAACATAATTTATATATATATATATATATATATATATATACTAAATTAAATAAAATATTAGATATTAAAATAATATAACAATCTTTCAAATGAATGGTATTTCATCTTTATGATTTTTACTCTTTTCTTTTAATTCAGTAATATGTTTTAAAGATGCCTTCATCGAAATAATAATTGTTATCAATTATAGCTTTATTATTTTGCAAAAATTTACTATTAATGCAACTGCAAAAAATCGAAACGAGAATTTTTCGATGTTCCGATCGACGTCCTGAAAATTTAGTTTAATTAGATTTTGACATTTCAATTCTAGATCAAATTAGTTCTAATATTTTAAATAGTCAATTATGTATTATTTTATTTAGCATATATTTTATCAAACTTACTTATTTCGTTGAATTATTAGATTGAAATTATTAGATGTTTATTTTAACTTCGTAATGCTTATATAATTTATATTTCTCTTGCCTATTTTAAAACAAAATAATTACATTTTAATATTATACATCAAATGAAATTTTATATTATTAAATATAATAATTAAATTAGCTATTGATTAAAAATGATTGACAAATAGACAACAACGACAAATTTTAGTCTGTACTTATAGTGCAACAACACAATTTCTTATAAATTATATAAAGTTTTTAAAATATTAAATAAAATGTTAGTATCTAAATAATGGTAATGCATTTACACATATAAACTATATTGAAATGATAATACAAGTCCTATTTTGGATTTTGAATAATAATTATTATAACACCTCTTCAAACGACTTTTGAGAGTATTTGCTATGAGTCTCATAATTTAAAATTTCATATTTCTTGGGGAAACTTCAGAGTTTTTGAATATATTTACCATTTACAGTTTTTAACTTTTCAAAAAGATTTTTCACTTTTTAATATGCAAATCTTCATAATTTTAATATGTGTGAAATATGAAAAACACATCCACTTTTATGTAAATTTTCAGAAGGTTTTTTCATATAGAATTCGATATAATATTTTAAAATAATAAGCTAAACTCAAATTGGAAAGTTTTACTAATGCTGTTCTTTATGTGATTATTTAATAAATTCAATCACATAAAAAACTGATTTACTATATCTGTTGATTTTATTTTGTATATTTTTTTGACCTAAATTATGAAGCAACAATAAAACTGTTCATTTGGTATTCATATCTTGGACTATTTTCTGTCGGTGATACTATATTTTGATGATTAAGAATGTAAAAACATTTTAAAATTTATGAATTTAAATTGAATATTCATTTACAATATTAAAATTATTTGTATCAGTTGTTATAAAATTTTGTTAAAAATGCATTTTGATTTTATTCCAAAAATCGTTAAACTTTTATGCTTCTTCTATGATATCTTATAAAATTTTAATTTACTTATGAAACTATCAACCTTAATTTAACGAATCTATTCTAAATCAAAACTTGTCGTTGAAAGAACAATTCAGAAAATTTATTTATTTCGATTGAATACGTAATTTAAGATATTTTTATTGTTAATACGACTGCAGCTCTAATATTGATAATATTTATAATATTATCAGTAATTTGACGATTCGAGTAAAATGTATTATTTTTTATACAACGTTCATTGCATTTAAGTTCAAACAATTCTTATATATCCTGGCATATGGAAAATTATGTAAGGAGATTTAATTAATAGACATTTGCAACACCTTCATTAATGTCCAATACGTCTGTGGAGTAGCTCTTTACGGATCAGAGACACGGACTATAATAAAATCAACAAAAACTGGTGTTGAATTTTGAAATGTGGTGCTGGAAGCGACTGGAGAAGATTTGGAGATAAATTAACAAATGGAGGAGTACTGAGAAGAAAAACTACTGACCACAATCATTAGAAGAAAAAAAAAAAAACCCTTTCTGCTAATTATTGAAAACTGAGGTATACCCAAAATGATTGGAAAGTAGAAGGAAGCAGATTGATGACGCTAAAATAAAAATACTGGGAACTGAAAGCCGAAGCACAAGAACGAGAAGCATAATAATTAAATTAATAATAAGTAATAAAATGTCAACGGGAATAAAAACAAGGTTGAGAAGATGAATCATTGATTAATGGTGCTCTCATACTGTTCACGTCAAATTAGACGTGACAACGTTGCACTCATCTTTCTCAGAAAATATTGCATTTTGCATGACGCATAGACAATTCGCATCTCAAGATTCAACTACGAAGAGTTCTGCTAGGTACCTGAAGGCGGCACATAGGTTCAGTCTAAACCCGGTCGCCAAACCATCAGCATTCAAATATTCCAATATTTTTCAATACTCAAACTATATCATACAAACAATGTAAAGTTATATATTACAATAAATTAGTACAATCAATCTTTTTGTTATTAATTAATCTTGACAATTAATCGGTCGACAGAGCCACTAATTCTATCTGGTCCTTGAGCTTACAACTTCAACAAAAAACACACACTATGGACTTGCTTTCGGGTGGACTACAATTATACGCTTTATTCGGAACAGCTATCGGGGCATACTGCTAAGCGGTCTATTTTTTGCAACTTTAATTAATCTTTATAATTAAACCACTTTTCATAGGCCTATAATATTTCAAGGTGTTCGGTTTGACTACCAACTCTATAACCATGCGAAGTTTCATCAAAATCCCAGAAGAGTGAACCTGGGGAACCTTGTTGATCTAAGCACAAACATTATAATCTTGGTGAAGCTAGCAGTTTATTTTTGGTCATTTAAAAATTAACGGGCCAACGGTGGCGATATCGGTTAGAGCGTGGGCTAGCACCAACTAGACCCAAGTTCGCTGGTTCGATTCCCGCTACCGCCAAGCCTGACATCAGGCAACTTTGATGTCAAACTTCCACTTGGGGTTATAGATCACAAAATAATTCCAAGTGAAAATCGTCCTTCGTGGACATAGTTGCATATTATCACATGCACACTATTAGACATAAGAGCTAATATATAAAAACCCCACACATAGGAGAAGATGAACCGATGGGTTGCTTCTCATACCAATACCTTAGGCCATAAGTCAAACACAAAAACAGCTTATAGAACAGGAATAAAAATAAGAGTTCTAATTGCTGTGCAAACAATAAAAAAGAAGAATTTAAAAATTAACAATATCAAAAATACTGACCTTTAACCCACGAATGTAGTCGGGAAGGAACGCCATTCCCTCGTGTTCATTATATCCAGCAAGCAGAGGAATCCTGGCAACACGTCCTGCTTCGAACAATGCTTGAGGTGTATCCGGCAAGAACATTTCTTCTGCGGGTCCCATGGATCCCATTCCCTCGACACTGAGGCAGAACGGCATTGCGTAGCCGCGTCTTCGTTCCATGGGCGTTATGAGCTCATCCGCCGCCTCGACAAGGTCCCCGGCAGGCGCGTTACGCAGGAAAGCAGCCTGACCAGAGGCCGAACGATCGTCGCAATTCAAAACCTTGGCGAGAGCCGCAGCTCGTTCGCGGGGTCGGTGTTCTATGCCCCAATCGCCGAGTAAGGAACCGCTTTGGAGAATTGCACGATGGAATAAACCTCTTGCAGGCGGCGACATCATTAAACCGTGCACTAAAGCGGCGCCTGTTCCTTCGCCGAATACGGTAACGCAACCGGCGTCACCTCCGAAAGCTGAAGCGTTCTGACGCACCCAACGCAAAGCAGCTAATATATCTTTGCCACCGGCGTTACCTTGTGCGTCCTCATTGTGCAGGCATAAGAAACCTACAAAAGATTAGGGGTTACAGTCGGTCAAGTAAGAGCGTGGTCGACTTTAACGTCAGTTAATGAAAGATTTCGGTCTAATTATTTCGTGAGCCGATAAAATGAAGCTTTGTCCTTGATGCATTATCAACTAAGGTTTAGTTGCCGTTGATCTTTTGAGAAAAAATCGCCGTAAACGCCATGAGTGCTAAGTTACGCGTCGCGCTACGAGCCCTTTTGCATCCACCCAAAAGGTCCCAAATTTTCGCAATCAGCTGCTGCTAAACATATGAGAAAGTTGAAGGCATTTGTACAGAATTCGATTCACCTATATAAAGTTGCTAAAAATATCGATGATTTATCAGAACGTGGTTCAAATAAAAAAAAAGAAAAAAGAACAGTAAATGTGTTTTTGGCGGAATCCAGCTTTAACACTGCAGCAAGGATGAGCTAAATTAATGACAAAATGTTTATAAATATCAACAAAAATATCTACAAAACTATCTGAACTTTTCTTCGTATTCATGATCTGAAATGGCGCAACACAACAGGGAAGCCTCTGACGACTGAAAAATATGTGCTTCTTTTCCGCTTGGGCACATGAAAATATTGATAGATTTTGAAAATGTCATTTTTACTGATAAAAGTTCTATATGAGCACGTACTGCCCTCATCGAGCCGTTAAATTAAAATACGAGCCGTCAGACTAGAATAATCCGTTTAATTAGTAAAAAGCAGGCGTCGGAGATGCCAGCCAATTGTCGACTCCGGTGGTGACTGGACACATATTGACCAAATTGCATCATTGCTTGTAACGTATACAATGCACATATAATACTAAAGTATCATAAAAAAAATTATTTTTATAAATTAACACGGCCACGCTCTTACTTGACCGACTGTACAACTAAATATAAAATCTATAATTTATAGCTGGATCATCACTTAATGTGCTTAGTAAATCAGTTCAACCTGAGGATTATTATTATCTTGAAATTGAGTGAGTTAGTTCTGGTAAACTAGAGTAATTATTTGCTAAAATTTAAGACGAAGTAAAATGTAGATCATAGAAAATTTTCGGGAGAAAAGAAAATACACACAATTAATACCCGAAGCATAACTGGAAGCTAGACAGGCGGTGGCTAGTAAGCCAGCCGTGTAAAAAGTGAAATGTAAGTTAGTGGGTTTTTGTATTAAAAAATTATCCTGATGTGACAACTGTAGTCACTACTATTATTTAATATATTAGTGATTCAATCAATATTAAACATATTAAACGAAAGTGTTGTGGCAGATGTTCGAAAGAAAATGAACTATAAACAATGGGAAAAGTCTTTGGGCGTACTGCTAATAACAGTTAATCCTCCGTCGGTCGGATATTTTTTCACCTTCGAACGGTCGGAAAGGTCTGGCTGGACCGCCATTTATGTCATGCATTTATATGGGATAAATGAGTTTTTGGTGTCTTATATATTAACGATTATTAGTAGTAAATATTTATAGTTTTGATTTTTTCTTTTTCTTGCAGTCTTTTGCATATGTTGAGCTTGCTTAATAAAAATATTACATTTTATATTATATAAAAAAATCAACAAATATAAAAAAATCGTTGCTTTTTTGTTAATTTTTCTGTTTTATATAAATGAAAAACAATATTTTTTCTTTTTCGGGCGCCTTTGAAATGAATGTGAAATTCAAATAAAAACGAAATGAGGTGCGTCGCCTTTGAAATGAGCTGTAAAACTCAAAGTGAAATATAATTTCACTACAGGTTTGCCAAAAAAAATTTTCGAAACGCAGTACGGGTAGCAAAATTGTTGATAATGTGTGCATTACTCATCCGATTTTCAGTGTTTGCGATTACCAATAAGTTTGGTAGGTTTTCAAGGGACTCTCGTCATGAAAATACTAAGATTCATGTTACAACACATAGCAAAGATTATATACAACGCAGTTTGAATGGAAAATACCATGAAAAAAGACGAAATACTGGTTTACATATGTCAAAAAGCATATATGTCATACAAAATGTATGGGTGGTCTAGAGAGACAGACCTTTTTGACCATTCGAAGTATAAAAAAGTTAATATCCTTATAATTCTGTACCTTCTGTACATTTTTTCGTCCTGATTTTTTCATTGATCGACAGCTAACGAAATTTTAGGAAAAGTCAAGAATTTCAAGTCGATAGGATTACTAGAAGTATTTTTTTTTTTTAATTAAAGTTGAAAAAAGTCTGGCCAGACCACGCCGACCGACGGAGGGTTAAAATATTGAAGCACTGAAAATTATCGAACGTAGTTCTAATATATACCTTACCCAATGGTCCCAGGCGATAATTAACGGTCACCACGACCACATCCCGGGCGGCCAAAAAGTCCGGGCCATACAGTGCATCACCGGCTGAGCCTGTACGCAAGCCACCTCCGTGAATCCAAAACATGATGGGCAAAGGGCGCGCAGTGAAATCGCCTTCGGTACGGGGCAAACGCGGGGTGTACACGTTCAGGGTCAAGCAATCTTCCTCGCCAATTATTTGGCCACTATTGGGGCTTTTTTGGGGGCAACAGGGACCCGGAGCTGTCGCGTCGTATATGCCCGACCATGGTTCTCGTGGACGTGGCGCCTGTAATGGAATTGATTATGAGGTCAAATATATCTAAATTTCAACAAGCATTAAGATAATAATAAAAACTAATATATTTCTTAAAATAAATTTAATAGATCCTTTTATTTTGAGTTCCAATTTGACTCTTCAGCGACTCAGTGGCAACAAATCTATAAAAAATGATAAAAGAATAATATATAAATTTAGCATAAAATAAGCAACAAAATTTTTTTTAAAACGGTTAAAAGAAGAGTTGAAAAATAAATATAAGTAAATTTAACATATAATTATTTGGTATGAGAATGAAATGAAAAAATCGTAGAAATTGAATATTAGGAAAAGTTAAAATGAAAGATTTCCTAAAACATCTATTTTAACATACGACGTTAGATTATCGTTTACTGTCATCACGAGTAGATTTAAATTTAATATATATATACATATTTTATATATAGATATAATATATATATATATATATATATATAACAAGGGTGGTCAGAAAACTTTCCGATTTA